CTTACTTCACTATTGGGAGAGTTTAGTACCTCAAGCTATGGTTTTATTCAAAATATGAAAAGCGTAACTTTTACGTGTGATGTATATATGTATGTAGGGTTTCATTGCTCGTATATGTAACAGAACCGTTTTCAGTGTCTAGAAGACTGCAATGAAGTGGACGATATGAATGACAAGCTCGTGGAAACTGTCCATGCGGTCGGAGCTAAGTTCTGCAAGACCCGCCGCAGAAGAACACAAAAACTCTCCGATCACACTCTTAATCTCATGGCTGTTAGACGGGAGATGAAGCTACATTCTTCAACAGACTTGACAGCATACAGGCATCTGAACAGACAGATCTCCAAATGCATGCGGCGGGACTTACGCAACTTCAATACAGCTCGTATTGAAGAAGCGATCGAGCGGAACCAAGGCTCCAAAGTCTTTGCCAGAGATCTGTCTGCCAGAAAGAGCCAACTGTCAAAGCTGAAGACAGATTGTGGCAGCATCGTTTCCGGGAACCTGAGATTTTGAGTGAGATTGAGAGGTTCTATGGGCAGCTGTACACATCATCGTTGGAGCCACACGCAAGTGTGAGTAACGATCCAAGAGCGAGTCTTATCCGACACTATTCCGAAGATATCCCGGACGTCAGTCTGAGCGAGAATAGAATGGCTCTCCAGCACCTTAAAAACGGTAAGGCCCCAGGCGAGGATGGAATTACAGCGGAGCTTCTGAAAGCGGATGGAAGACCGGTACTTGAAGTCCTTCAGAAGCTCTTTAATTCCGTCCTCCATGGTGGCATTACACCGGAGGCGTGGAGCAGAGGTGCGGTGGTCTTGTTCTTCAAGAAAGGTGACAACGCTCTCTTGAAGAACTACAGACCGATTTCCCTTCTGAGCCGCGTCTACGTGCTGTTTTCGAGAGTCATTACGAATCGTCTCGCGCGCAGACTTGACGACTTCCATCCTCCCGAACAAGCCGGTTTCCGAAAGGGCTTTAGCACAATAGACCACATACATACCCTTCGGCAAATTGTACAGAAGTCCGAAGAGTACAATTTGCCACTATGTCTGGCGTATGTGGACTATGAGAAAGCCTTTGATTCCGTCGAAATTTGGGCGGTGCTGCAGTCCCTTCAGCGGTGCCAAGTTGACTGTCGGTATATCGAAGTGTTGAAGTGCTTGTACAGTAGGGCTACGATGGCTATCCGAGTACAGAATCAGAGTACGAAACCTATCCAATTGCAGAGAGGTGTAAGACAGGGTGACGTCATATCCCCGAAACTCTCCACCTCTGCATTGGAAGACGTTTTCAAGCTTCTGGACTGGAAAGGATACGGTATCAACATCAATGGCGAGTACATCACTCACCTTCGATTTGCCGACGATATAGTCCTTATGGCAGAATCGCTGGAGGACCTAAGCACTATGCTCAATGACCTCGATAGTGTTTCCCAACGGATAGGTCTTAAGATGAACATGGACAAAACAAAGATCATGTTCAATGTCCATGTCACACCTATGCCGGTAGTTGTTGGGAGCACTAAGCTCGAAGTTGTTGACGAGTATGTTTACCTGGGACAAATAGTCCGACTAGGTAAGTCCAACTTCGACCGTGAGGTCAATCGACAGATTCAACTCGGCTGGGCAGCGTTCGGGAAGCTACGACACATCTTCTCGTCAGACATACCTCAAAACCTGAAAACGAAATTCTACAACCAGTGCGTGTTGCCAGTGATGACTTACGGAACTGAGACGTGGTCCTTCACTGCTGGCCGTATAAGGAAGCTCAAGGTCGCTCAGCGAGCTATGGAGAGGGCTATGCTCGGAGTTTCTCTGCGTGATAAACTTAGGAATGAGGATATCCGCAGTAGAACCAGAGTAACCGACATAGCCCAACGGATTAGTAAGCTGAAGTGATGTGGGCCGGCCATATAGCTCGAAGAACCGACAACCGATGGGGAAGAAAGGTTCTCGAGTGGCAGCCTCGTACCGGTAGGCGAAGTGTAGGGCGTCCCCCCACGAGATGGAGTAACGACCTGGTAAGACATGCAGGAAGTCGATGGATGCAGGTGGCTCAGGACCGTGCTTTGTGGCATTCTTTGGGGGAGGCCTATGTTCAGCAGTGGACTTGTGAAGGGCTGTTATGATGATGATGATATGTAACAGATGTCGCACTGGTATTTCTTTGGCTTGAAAATGTTTATAGTGACGCAGTGTGTTTGCTATACCTCTATTAGTTACCCTTACCGTTACAGTATATTAAAAGTTCACCGCTGAACATAGGCTTCCCCATTAGTTTTCTCAAAGAGGGAATATGTGCCATAGTTAACACGCTGCCCGTGTACTGGTTTGTTTCCCTCTGTCGCCTTTTACGACATCCACGTGATGATATTGTGTAATGGATATTCTTACACCGCCACTACACGGTCAATTTTATAAGTATTAGGATCAAACCATTCCATATACATAACACAAAGCTTATATAAGTTTAGGTCACTCTTTAAGTTAGTGTGACGGTGTTTTTACTAAAGTAATGAGATTCTACGGGGTGTAAACATTTAAATTAATGTGGTCACATAACTTTTACTTGACTTCTTCTTTTAATTAACGAGAGTGATTATTGCGCCCATAATGATCACCACGATGCCTGATGACATCATCAGAGTCAGCTCAGAGTCAGTCTTGTACCTATCTCAAAATAAACTATTTGTTCATGTATCGCCAAATTCGATAAAATTGTTTTATTCATACAAGAAGTTGATTTTCAGGTGAGTTTTCAGTGGCTTAAAAAGGTAATTTATACTTCAATGTATATTTTCGTCGAGACTTAGACTCTTCTCTTGAGTATACCAAATGTCTCTGATGATCTTCTTGATTAATGAAAGCTTTAAAATAACAAAAGAAAAACCTAAGATATATAATTTTATTTTGCAATACCTACGTAAACAATTGTAATAAAATATTACGATAGCAATGAATACCGATTATATCGACGTAATTATTCTTAACTTGCATAATAAAGACTAACGTACACATATATTCAAACCACATTAAAAAATCGAATGCATTACATACATTAAAATTATTAATTTAATAAGCGACGTAAAATAGTATGGTTTGTATTACATACAATACTTTTTTGTACAAAATAGCAGCGTAGATAATTCTATGTGTTACTTACTATAGTTTTGACCCACTAGAAACAAAAATTAGGCAAATTTTGGCAACTTCATGAAAAATAATACGTATCGAAACTACTTACCTAGTGCTCTATCGGTTTGTTCAAAATTACCATTAAGGTGGAGTTTTCCTACATTTTCAGATAGAAAATTGGATTTAATATTTCCTGATCTTGCCGATTAACACACAATAGCGCATAGCTTGCAAGCTCTTGAATGTAATTAGAAGTAATTATTTGAAGATAGTTTACTCATTATTTTAGAAACTCATTTGAAATCTGTAATCAACTAAATAATAATTTACGCGGCAATCGCGGACGTACGCACACTCTCCGCGTACCAAACCGTATTTAATCGTTACCATAGCACCGCTACTCTGCCTTTACCCCGTACTAATTTCTGTTCAGGTATATGTGTTTTTCTGGGCTGCTGAAGTGCTAGAGTACAATCATAGATAAGATAAGATGATTTATTAGTTAGAATATCGTACATTACAGTTGTTAAAAAAGAATTTTCTACATGGTTTCTACGTGGTAGAGCCATGCTGCAGCTATATTATGGTTATAGCACGAATGGGTCGGCTCGAACGGGGAAGGACCACGCTCTCACAGAAAACCAGCGTAAAATAGCAGCTTATCGCTGCTGTATTTCGTATGGTGAGTGTAGAGAACCGGAGACCCTTTTTATTGGGAAAGAGGCATTCCATCTTAGTCCTCACGGGTGACAACGCATCTGCATCTTGAGTCTTTATTGAGGATATATGTTGATGTCTATGGGTCACAGTAACCACTTACCATCAGGTGGACTGTGTGCTCGTTTGTCACCCGATCCTATAAAAAAAAAGAATTCTGCCGTTTCCGGCGTACAAATATATTCATAGGTCTGCAGCGTGTCAGATCATGCCTTGAGCCTTGACAGACATTTAAAGCCTGAATAATGTCATAACAAAGGCTAACAGTCCTATGAATGAAAGTGAATGAAAAAAAGTGAAACAAAAAGTTAGTAACCTAGGTCAATTATGTTTTGGATACTTAAGGTATTGTAAATAAAACAACTTAATTTTTTTATTTTCTATTTATTTATCCTGCTTCAAAATCCTCTCTGACTAAAATGCCATCCAGATTTGAGGCCGGTGCCGTTATAATATTTTGATACCGAGCCCATCCAAAATACTAGACAACGGCCATTACATGGGCGCAGCAACCCACTGTCCGTTGTCCAGAAGTGCAACTACAATAATAACCTCCAATCATCTCATCCCAACTTGTCCCTTGTCTCGCCAACAGTATATATGTATAATAAGCTCTGCCCGAATGATAGCGAGATTTTATGCGGCCACTTATTAAAACAGAGTCTTGTTGGAATGATATTAATTGGGTCGCAACTTCCAGATCATTAGATATTTCCACCTGATATGAACCATGCTGTCTTATGTACGTTCGCCATAATAGTAGTAGTAACAGATCCAAAATCTAAACAAAATACCAAAATCAACAATGAAATCCACAATTCACGCATTCATGAATTCACAACTACACGGCCAAGCTCGGAATAAATAAAAATATCACTTGACAGAAATGACATTTGACAAATAACCGCGTCTTTTTACGACTGAAAGGGCGCCATCTTGTAAAACCATCAAAAACTTGGGATTGCATTTTTATTTTTAGCAAGATTTAGTGTGATTTATTCTCCTATTTTATTTCTAACAAAATCCCTGAATTTTTCTCTTTTTTACGGCATAGTGTACATAGACTAAGCCAAAAATGGACCATCTCCTTTAATACATATTTTGCGTAGTTTCGAAGATTTTAAATGTTTATAGTACTTAATTTTATCCCATAAGCTTATTGTTAAAGAATCTCAAGTTTTTTAGCCTATATCTGAATCTGCCTTTCTTTTTGAGGCGACCCATGCGCTGCAGTGTCTTCACAAATGGCAAAAATCGATATAGATTTTGTAATTGATCGCCCAAACAAAACACGAAATTCACTTCTGCGTACCCGTATGTACGGATTATATCTTCATCTTGCCAGCTATATTTACATTGCGCTACATCCATAAAGCAGTGGTTTCGAAACATAATAGACGGTTCTCGAGCATTGTCACCCATACTTCCACATACTGGCGCGTAAATATCTGGACATTTTGTAGGACATTTATGGTAGCAAGATGACAAAGTTGGATAGTGCATGTGATCCTCACTGACGTTAGTCGGGATAGTTATTCGAGGTTCATAAACCTTAACTGGTCCTGCGAAGTTTATCAATCTTCTTCGCGTTATTTCATTCACCAAGTTTGGATCAAGTTCTCTCATTGGTAAATCTAAAACGTGCGTCGTCGCGAAAAATGTTTCAATTGTATCATTAATATCGTTTTTGTAATCTAGAATATTAGGTTTTACAATGACAAGGTTCTTATTTGTATTAAAAACAATGTCTTTAGGTTCTATGTCGTTTGTTTTATCGTTAATAGATGCATTTGTAAAAACCGATTCACAAATATATAAATCAGTTTCAACAAATTTTTTATTTTCATCGCAGTTGTGTTTTATAAACTCGCATTTATTATTAAACAGTCTTACTTTATATCCAGCTCCATCTTGTTTTAGACCACAGATATTATGTGTTTCATTTGTTAATTTACAATTAATGTTCATGCAATGTTTAGTTTCGTTTACTTCAATTACTTCCTTATACAAACTTCTGATACGTTCGTTATTAATTTGTTGCTTTTCATATTTATCGTTTGAAAAAGCTTTGTCGCAGTACTCTAAATTAATTATACCATAAGCTTTATCATCTTCTACATTACAGCCATATCTTAATAATTGGCATTCGTTTTCAAATAATTTCAGTCGAAAACCATCTGCTTCTTCTCTAATACCACAAACGTTAACTTTGGATAAGTCATCACAACGTAAATTTTTGCAGAAATTCGATTTTTGAACATCAACTTTCTTTGATTTGATTAAAGGGGTATAGTGGAACATTAGAAAAATAAAGCGTAAATGCATGTTGTGTATTTGCATTACAAATTAACAAATCAAAATATTTCATGCAGATGCGATAAGTAATTAACAACCACTATGGTAAATTAGATTTTAAATTTGATGGATTTTAATCACAACTGTATGTAGTAAAATATTTAATATACGAATGACTGATTAAATTGATTATAAAATATACAATTACCCTATCAACCTGATTATTCCCATAGGTTTCTTTGTTTCTGTTATTAACTTAGGTTCAAACTGGGGGATTCAATATTTAATAACCGATAGCACCAATATACTACAATATCGCAATAAACATATATGTACTTGTCGGCGATACGCCAGGGTTTTCACGCTCAGAGTCCATCACAATGAAATAGCACGCCAAATATTAAGTAGTTTATTTTCGCACAATTGCGGGTACAGAACAGAACAGTTTTTACAAAAATCAACTAGTTTCCTTACAAACATGGATATAGCAAATACAACTTCTTTTAAATCAAACAAATAAAATTAAGTACTACAAAATAATTCTTAAAATAGAGCTCATTATTCATAACAAATATTTTAATAATTTAAATAACTTCAAATGATTTATATTATATAAATCTTTGTTCATTTAATTTAAATAGACATTAGTTTTTCATAGTCAGTCAAAATCCGGGCTCTAATACTGTTAAGAGGTGGCGCTGCAAGCAAGATTCAAGTGAAATTAAACAAGACTTATTACATAAAATAATAAAATTTGATACAAAGTAATGATATTAATTCTAATAGATATTAATTTGAACATTTACACAGTAAAATGAGTATTTTAACAATAAATGAAGCATCAAACGTCTTCAAAATGTTCAAACAGTCAAAACAGTGTCTACTAAATATCAGAGCTTAATAAATAACGATTTTATGTTTATAAATAACTATATAAATTTAAATCTTACATATTTCAGATATTTCTATACTAATATATTCACTTAAACGATAAACTAAAACATAAATATCAAATTTGCCAATTATTGCCGATAGATGGCGATTTGCGCCCATATATCAATATTTGCTAATTATTGCCGATAGATGGCGATTTGCGCCCATACGGCCATACTGACTCCAGCGCGTCCCTTGCGCTGTTTTTATGACATAATTTCAAACAAGGCATCACCCACACTGGGATCTAGCCAACACACAAGGCATCACCCATACTGGGATCTAGCCAACACACAAGGCATCACCCATCCTGGGATCTAGCCAACACACAAGGCATCACCCATACTGGGATCTAGCCAACACACAAGGCATCACCCATCCTGGGATCTAGCCAACACACAAGGCATCACCCATACTGGGATATAGCCAACACACAAGGCATCACCCATCCTGGGATCTAGCCAACAAGACCAGGTTTAAAAGGATACGCATGGTGGCCAGCCAGCGTTTAGGAAGGATATTGGATAGGAAAAATAAATTTCACGCACACATTAATAATTACAAAAATAAATCATAAAACATATCAATTATCAACACAAATTCAATCATATAGATTCAAGATTGTCCTCAAAGGAAGTGGAAGGCACCCTCGGTCTCCACCGATTTCTCCGCCCATACGGTCAATTCGTCTGAGTTGTCAGAATCATTAAAAGGGTCTAAAAGGGAATGAGCTATGGGAGCAGGACGCAATCCATCGTGACTTGCAATCTTTTCTGAACAGCCACGAAGGTTAACACGTTTAAGTCTATATCGATCATCTATACAAACAAATAAAATTGAATAGTCTGTTTGTAATGTCAAAATAACAGCTTTTTACTAAATGCATATGAAAGTATTTACGGTATTTATAACAAAAGAACAATGTTTCAAATTTTTGTTTGTTTGTTTGTTCCGTCTAATCTCCGAAACCGCTGGACAGATTTTGACGGGATTTTTACTGGTATCTACCAGCTGATGTTATAAGGAGTAACTTAGCTACTTTTATTTAAGTAAAAGAATTAGGAATCCGAGCAAAAAAAAAAAATAAACGCCATTAAATCCAATAGTAACGCGGGCAAAGACGCGGGGAACAGCTAGATTGGTAATATTTCTAAAATTTCCATTGAGCCTTTAATTTTAGAGCCAAACTTAGTAGTGTGTCGTTCATGGCGCCGCATTAAGACGAAGTCGCAGACTTTAAATAGGCGGATTTTTGCTTTATCTTTATCAAAACAAGTTTCATCGCCAAGGGATCGCTCGTCCATCCGTCCCCCAGTAATCAATCTAACCTCCTCTCAATTCTCTGTTAGTATGTCATTGCCAACCCGCAACACTTTAATGGCAGGTGACGAACATCCTTTCCCTGGTAATAATTCCATTGGACTCTGTACTTTTGGATAATGTGCAGTTTATAGCCAATTGCAACTTGGCAAAGCCGCATGCCATGGCCCACCCAGTTCTACAACAGACATGTTACCCTCTACAACCTTCATCAATCGCTCAACCCAACCGCCGGCCCTACCAGGTCCCCCGCCACTACGTGGTGCTGAATCCCCGAACGTTAGCAAAAGTTTTCAAACTCTTGCTCCCATCTTGATCAGTAATTAATCGTGATGAGTCGAATATTGCAATCAAATTCCGAAAACATCAGATAGCAGTCTTACCAACACGGTCATTTGTACAAATCCTATGGACAGTTAGCAAAGCCGTCAATAAATACGAAAGCATATTCAGGCCCACTGCGCTCTCCATTCATTCCCCCAGTCATATCCTTACGAACGGTATGAAAAGGAACAGCCACTTTGTTAATGGGATGTAAAGCAACCTGTCCAGTGCCAGATACTCCCTTTCTCACTCTACACACGACGCAATTTTCCACAAACCCTCCACCTAATGTAGTCCTATTAGAGAACCTTAACCTTAACCTTATTAAAAAATAGCGCTCTCGTAATTTTTCAAGAATCTTATCCCAGCGAAAATGTTAAAGGTTATCATGACAATGGGATATAAGGTTCCATTTATAATTACGTGGGACTATAATTAACATTAATTAGTTATTAATTCATTAATGTATCCTGTTATTAATTCGCACCCTATGTCTCAGCAGTTCATCCTGAACTATAACTCAAGCATCTGCGATATTTTTGGGAATCGAATCATCCCTCAAGTGTTCCACAATACTAAGCAGAGTTGAATTGCGCCTCCGCTCTACAAAGAGCCAGCCATGGTCATGGGTAGCAGTATTAACCATCCACACCAAAGATCCGGATTCATTGAATTCCAAACACTGGCTTAGATGACGTCCAACAGTATGTTTAATTGGGTTGCGATTAAAGAAGTCAGCATGAGCAAGTCCATTGCCCCTGCAGTACTCAACTTAAATTGAAAGTTTTGCAAGAAGTTCCACCACATGAATTCCGGGAGCCAGGTCTCGTTGGCGACCCGAAGCTTTTAAGGAACTGCACTCAGCGACCACCACAAATGACCGGCCATGATGGAAATGGCGAAAATATTCCACAGGCTTAACCACAGCAAGAGTCTCCAGCTCACACCAGCGACACCCACTCTCTGAATCTGAAGACCCCATACTAAACCAAGCTACCACCAAAGTATGTCCGTCTTGTCTCCGAATCAGTACGGCGCCACAACCAATTGAGTCGGCATCCGCACGCAGCTCAGTTGGCAGACTCTGGTTAAATATAGCTAAAACTAGGGAAGATGTGAGCATGTAAGCAATCATTTCTCGTCGAGCAAGCTCACGTCGTTCAGTCCAATTAAAAGAAACACTAGCTTTAGTAAGGCTGCATAAGGGAGCCAATATTCTAGAGAAACTGGGCAACATTTTTGAAAATATCCTGTCAAGCCATTAAATCGCCTTACTTCACTACTGAAAGAGCCAGTAAAAGCCCGAATTCTTCCCGGCCCTGGCCCAAGAGTGCAACCCCTAATAATGTTACCAAGATATTCAACCCCAGTTTCGAGAAAAGAACATTTGGAAATATTTAGAGAAAGTCCAGCCCGAGTCAATCTAGCCAAAACAAAACTCAAATTCACCAAACCCCACTGCACAGATTCAGATACAACCAGCTCTAAGCGAACATTATCAATCCCAACCACAGTTGTAATGCTTTGTTTTGAAAACTGTTTGACCTCCGATACCGATAAACTTCACATCAACTCGTTTACGTTTTCCGGCAACGCAGCTAGCTATTTTCTTTCAAATTAATGAACAGTCAGCTCTATTATCAAAAAGGCAGTTATAATTTTTACATTAAAAGTGCTACGTTTAATAGATTAATAAAAGTTAATAGTTTTATTTGAGGCATTACGTTAGTCACTTCGACAGCGGTAACAACTTTTCTCTACGTAGCCCTTACGAGGACAGTATTCGCACTCAATAACCTTAACGTTACTAGAACTGGCACAGGAATTGAAGTTATTATTTGATTGTGACAAAGCATAGTTGGGATTTTGGCAATCTCGCGAGAAATGACCTGGCTTATTGCAACTAAAACATACGACTTGTTCCTTTAAAAGTCCCGTAACACGTGGTTTTCTAACATAATTATATTTACACTCTCTATTTTCAATTTTACGTTTTCAGAATGTTTTTAGAACCGATACTAACCTGGGAAATGAATTGGGGGTACTTCTCAACAACTCAGAACGAATAAATTCAGGATAAATACCTGTTATCAGTGCTTCCACTACCTCGGCATCGGCAGCTTCTGGCCGGACCCTCCTGAAGAGCGTCCAAGACGTTGTAGCATATTCAGTGTAGCTGCGCCATTTCTGCACGTCGTCTGCGTACCGGAACTGGTTGCCAAATGTATGTCGGCTCTTCCTTTACTTGTTTCCACGTGGTTGAATGCAGTGACCAGGTGTCTGCGCATGTCTTCGCTCGTCCTCTCAATTGCAGGATGGCCTTCATTCGAGCTTCATGGGGCGAAATATTCAACTTCGTAATCGTTTCGTCCACGTTAGCACACCAGTCCCTGATGTCATGTGATCTCTCATCAGGGTTGAACGGCGGTAGATAAAAGTAATGGTGCCGCCAT